TTAAAAGTAGATTTATTGTATCAATAGTTCAACTTATTGGTTTAAAAGTTTGAAGGTTTCTGTTTTGGCTTTTTACAGAGGAGCATGACAAGGAAGAGGGAAATGTGGAAGTTGAATTGAATGAAGAAGGTATCTTATGTTGTGCTTTACAAATAGTATGTGTATAAATAATATAGAACTGAGGGCAGAAAATGAAATAAAGTTATGCACAATATATCCCTTAATATTGAATTACAAAAAGTGTTGCTAGTGAAGGGTATAGAATGAACACTTCTAATTAAAAGTTAGATTTATTGTATTAATAGTTCAACTTATTGGTATAAAAGTTTGAAGGTTTCTGTTTTGGCTTTTTATAGTGACAATACAAAATGAATACTTCTAATCAAAAGTTAAAATTATTTAATTAAAAGTTCAAGTTATTTATATAAAAGTTTAAATGTTTGTGTTTTGGGTTTTATAGACGACCATAACAATGTTGATGGAAATGAGTAGTCTTCAAGGAATGAAGAAGAATGTATCTTATATTCTGTTTTAAAAATAATTTCTCTGTGAATATTTAGACACAAGTTTGAATATTTCTTTTTTGACTTCTTAAAGATGAGCAGAACAATTTAGAGGAAAATGTGGAAGCTTCAAGTAATGAAGAAGGTATATTATCTTATCTTTTAAAAGTAATTGTAACAAAATGAAAACAAGGTATGCACAATAATTCATTTAATATGTAATTTTAGAAGTTCTGGATACGTAAGAGTATAGGATAAGTACTTCTAATTAAAATTAAAAGTAAGTTATTAAAGGTTCAAGTTATTTATATACAAGTTTGAATATTTATGATTTTGGTTTTTATAGATGATCATAATATTGCAGAGAGAAACGAGGAAGGTTCAATTAATGAAGAAGGTATATTTTGTTCTGATTGAAGAATATTATTTATAAATGCATGTAATCATTAATTTTGGATGTTATAGTAAGTTATAAATATCAAAATCATTAAACTTTGATTTGCTTAATGTAACTGGAAATATAGCTGATATGAATATTGAGGAGGATACTGATTTTGAGACTACAAAGAAGACTATTCCCAAAAGAAAGTGTGATTTGAGTGAAATTGCTACAACTTCTCGACCAAGAAACAGAAAAGCTGGACCACAAACGAAAGATCAATACAAAAGGATCAAAGCCCAAAGGTATAGAGTTTAAATGTTTTTGACATGTCACATTATAAAAGCAATTTTTTTCATAAACTGAAATATTTTGTAATTTCATTTAAATACAGACCTGAAAAAGAAAAAGAAATGAAGCAGCCTGTAGGCCACAGTGTTTGATAGAGATATTTGATGATCTGTCTGAAAAACAAATCAAAGATGTAAAAGACATTGGTTTTGAAGGTGTACTGAATTGCAGAATAAGTAACAAAATGAATAGTAGAATGGTGTTTGGTTATTGAAGAGCTTTGATAGTGGAAGTTTGATGTTCTCTATTGGATCTGGGAAGGAATTTGTAGTCACTCAAGCTGATGTGCATGATGTGTTTCTATTACCTTGGATTGTTGGAAGTAATGTTGTTGAAGCAGAATGGCCAAGGAATACAAAAAAGCCAACTGAAAAAACTATTGGGCAGGTGGTAATGAAAAATTGGAAATCAAAGCTTGGTGTGACTGGAGCAGGTACTATAAATCTAAGAAAAATAAGTGATGCTTTAAAAGTAGAGAAGGAAGGAGGTGATGAATTTAAAAGGTTGTTTGTTTTATTTGTTATTTCTCATTTAATGGCACCAACCTCTAATAGGACAGCTAATTTACAATTGGTGGTTGCATTAGAAGATGTTTGTAAGATCAAGCATTTAAACTAGTGTGGTTATGTTTTGAAAAAACTGTGCAGTGCAGTGCAAAGGTTCAAAAACAATCTTGACAATGCTTTTGTTGGAGGATGTTTGTTGCTTCTCCAAACTTTGTATTTTCAAAGGTCAGTGTTCAAAGGAGTTGAAGTTCCAAAAACGTTGCCCTTGATCAAGAATTGGAATTCTGAGAAAGTGAAAGCAAGGGTAAAAGATGAAATCAAAGCTGATGATTTTGGTAGAGGCCCAATTGATAATGCCTACCCGATCTCGAAAGTGAAAAATTGTTTTAATAAACAAATTGAAACAATGAACAGGGAAGAACAGGGATCGAGGTTCATCAGATTAGATATCCCAGAAGGAATGCCCACTGATGATGATATTAACAGAAAAGCAAAAGATGTGAGTAACTTTATTTACAAGTTCTGATATATGGTTTAAAAGTTAACATTTATTATTAATAAGTAATCTTTTTTAGGAAAAATTATTAATTAAAGGTGTAAATGGTTTTTATTTATTTTCCTTTGTTTAGGAGAAAAGTAAAACTCTGATGTTGGTCAAAAGGGATGTGGAACTGGTGTTCCGAGCTCATATGTCTTCAAAACAAGACATGGAATTTGAAGAACAAGTTAGCCAAAACCAAAGCTCCCAATCCACAACCAGCTTCGACAAAATTTTTAATGACCCTAAAACGTTTGAGATTGTGGATGTTGTAGTTGATATGCTGATGGATATCAAGCAAAGTTCACAAGAAGAGAACATTGACAAAAACAAAGAGATAGAGGATGTTGTAGCAGTAAACGAGGAAGATGCTGCTGGGAATGAACAAGGGGAACATCCATTTGTAGATGTGAACAAACAAAGGTAAGATGCTGCTAGGAATGAACAATGGGAACAAGCATGTGTGGATGTGAACAAAGAAGGGAGAACAAAAAAGCGCATTACATTCCTATCACAGTTCATGAAGGAAAGGTGTTCTGTTCATTGGGAGTTGATGACAGATTATGATAAGCATCTTGTGGACTACTGCTTTTATGATTCTGGAATAGAAAAAGAGTAAGAATTAATAAGAAATACTTCGTTCTATCTTTCAGTTATAAAGAGCCTAGAATAATAGATAACAACTTACAAATAATGATTAATTCGTTACTGAACTTATGTAATAAGTTAATATGTTTATGTCTTATTTTTCAGAGAATTGCTTGTCAGGTTCAACGGAAGGATTTGTATAACAAAGGAACATATGATCTGCTTGGGTTCAACAAACTTTATACCTGCTGAAATTGTTAACAGTTGGGCATTTTATCTGAATGAAGAAGAGCTGATATTGGACCAAGAAATGGGAAAAAGATTCTACTTTGGCATTTGTCATTCAGTAAGAATTAATACTTTCATTTTTTAATTTTATGAAAAATCATTCTCATGCAGGAAATCTTTTGTGCAGGCCATATTGACTAAGATAATGGAAAACGGTTTTAATATTGAAGCAAGAAATGCCTTACATAGAGCATGGGATGATTGGATTTGTGTGAGTAATAAACAATGGAATATTGCAAAAGTAGATTTTGTAAGTAATTATTTTGCAAAAATATTCAAAATAAGTCACAAAAATATAGAAATTATGTAGTGTTGTAAATCTACTTGCAGATAGTGATTCCATTTCTGTACAAGAACCACTATACGTCACTTTTTATAAATACATTGTCGAAGAAAGCCCAATTGGTGGACTACAGAAAAAAGGAGGACATTGGTCTTCTTAAATTTCTTGCTGGAATACTGGTAAAAGTTATTAAATATTATCTGTAATTAATATTATTATTGATATAGAACTAAAAAACATGATTGTTTTCAACAATTATTTCAAAACAGTGCTCAGAGATGTCAACCTAGTTGAAGAAGAAAAAGCACCCAAAGGCTAAGCAAATGCCAAAGTATGAGTTTGAAGATGTGATGCTTGATTGGAAAATCAATAGAGAAAGTAATGATTGTGGTGTATACTTGCTCATGACAATGATCTTGTTTGAGGGAGTGAGTTTTAAGTATACTCTCAACAAGGTTAGTAAAACCTTTTATTATATTTGATAGTAATTTATTTTTAGTTTGTTTGGGATATATAACGAACTAATAATTAAATTATCTTTAACAGGTGGAAGATAGAAAGTTTCATCGGGCAGAGATCTGTTCATTACTTACGAGGTATCAAAAGAATGAAATGCTCAACGAAGTAAAGAAGAAGATTGAGCAGTTCATAAAAATGAAAGAAATAAAAGAAGGAAAAAGGGTGTTGTAATACTGTTGCAGTACTTAAGTGGACAATGCACTATATGTTCTCAATATATGATATGATTGTCCAAGATTATGTGTTAAATACTCTGATAAGATTTGCTCAAATGTTTATGATTTTGTAATACAAGTAACATTTGAATGATTGATGGCATGTTTTATCTGCTTTAGTTATGCATCTATAAGATTTTGTGAAAATGCTTATTTACAGTATGTTTGGCTTGGTGGCCACTTGGCATTTTGCTTTTATTAAAAATATGTCATTTTTAAATCACGTATTAGCAATTATCTCCCTTAAAATTCAATTCAACCCATCATTTTTCACTCTAAATTAGATTTTGTGTGTTAAAATATAATGGTGGTTAGTGAGTACCATATATGATTGATTAATAGTTTGATATATTGAGCAACTCCTAACAAGCACTTGCTTGTAGGAACAGTAGGACTCCTGACCTTAATTTTTTAATAATAAAATTTACTTATAGTAGCATAAATTATATAACTACTGATTTTGATGTTTCCGTTGATGTTAATTAAAAGTTAGGAATTTACTTTTAGAAGTTACTATATTGGATCTATTAGTTATAAACGTATGTCCATTCATCTTTATTGCATAAATGGATGTAGATGAGTTGAGAAAAAAGACACATTAGCCCAAAAAGAGCGGTGATTTTTGCTCTCAAACTTTCTGTTATTGACTTTATTACTCCAACATATGTCTGGGTCTAAGAATCATTATGCCCTGCCCTGGACATTTTTATATAATAACAAGAATGGATGGATTGAATCAAATCTTTCTAAGTTATATGGTTCATTGCCTTCAAAATGTGTACAACAAAATCTTAAACCAAGTACAATAAACAATTGTTGCCATCAATGTGTTGCAACAACTTAAAGTCATAAAAAAGCAAGCTCACTAACAACTCTTCGACTTCATGATCGATATATGAACATAACAAATGACACAAAGTTCAGAACATGTTAGGGAAGGGGAGAGATGAGGCCTTCTTGAGATGACAAGGAGCGGATGTTCTGATACCGTTTCAAAAATTGCAAAGACAGCAAGAGGCAGCAAACGGAGACGAGTCCAATATATCAAGAACTGAAAAAAATAACACTTAGACATTGAGAAATTAAAAACCAATTAAAATAGTAAACAAGTTATTACCTTGAAGAACTGTCACATTCTTTATTTGGACAGTTTCTACTATCATGGAAACCAACTTCACCACAAGATTTGCATGTTCTTGGCTTCTTGACTTGATCCTTTGTGGCACAAGCATCACTCTTATCAACATTACTTGACCTCTTCTTAAGTATAGCTTTTTTACGCTCACTAATCATTCTTTTTTTTCTGCCTTTATTAACAGAAATCTTGGGAGGATGAATACTATATTCTGATGAAGAGCTGATACCTAAGAGGCTTTCAATGTCATTTGAACCTTTTCCAACATCATTGGAAGTATGTTTTGAAAGAATTAAGCCTTTGAAAGATTCAACCATGTCCAATAACTTCTGCAAATCATCATTTGAACTCTCAGCAAAAGAAACACAACTAAAAAAAGAAGACCAAAGATCACCCACCAATTTATTTTTAGAATCAGCAGCACATCCATCCAATATGTTTCCAAAACAGTCAAATATAGGCTTTTCCAAAGCTTTTTTTGTCCAACGATTCAGTATATATTGATTGGGCAGCTCCCGAACACCCTTACCTTTTATAATGAATAAAACATGACGGCACAATAAACCTTCCCTCTGAAACATCTTGCAAGAGCAAGAACTATCATGATCAACGGGGTTATATGTAACTTCATATGTTTTTTCACGAAGAATATCAACAACAGAAACATGATCACAGCCCGATTCATCAGTAGTGAAGCGTTGAATACCACAAGAAAAACACGCAGCTTTCCACTCACTTTGAAACAAGTAAAAAACAGTAAGGGTGTAAACTTCAGAAGCATGCTTATCAAGTGGTAATGGTGTGAGCAATTGAGGAAATGATTTTTTTGAATTAGCATGCAACCGGTCATGGTGATAACGTCGAGACTTTATGGTAGTTTGAAAGCGAGATGCAAATTCGACCAAAGATAGGAATGGGTTTAAGAAGTGGTCAAAAAAATTATTTTCACTCTCTGATCTTTGAGTAGATCTTAAAATTCCACCTAAAAATACATCTCTGAAATAGGCAGGAATCCACATTTCTCTAATATCTAACAAATTCACAAACCAGTCGTGTTTCTGTAATCCAAAATCAGCCATAACGGACAACCAACCAACAACAAATTCATCCGGTTCTAATTCACGATTCCACACAACAGCATTCAAACGGAGAAGAAAATCAGTTTCATCACAAAGTTTATACCCTACTTTGTCAAGAACTTGTTTCATTATGTGCCACATGCAAAGCCTATGTTTTGCCTTGTCAAAAAATCTGGATATAGCTATTTTCATAGCAGGGTCTTGATCTGTCACGATACTTATAGGTTGACAAACACCCATACACCGCAAGAATGTCTCAAAAATCCATGTATATGAATCAATATCCTCATTAGCAATCAAAGCGGACCCAAAGGTAATACATTTACGATGGTTATCTACCCCAGTAAAAGGTGAAAAAACCATAGAATATTTATTCGTAGAAAACGTGGAATCAAAAGTAACCATATCACCAAACAATGCATAATGTTTCCTACATAATGCATCTGCCCAAAAAAACTCTAGTCAATCTCTGAGTCTCATCAACAACATAATCAAAAAAGAAACCACTTGAATGAACAACCTTTTGCTTAAAAGACTCAATAAACATATGCGCATCTCCATATTTAACATATGTCTTCAAATCACGATAACAGTTCTTAAAATCAACTAAAGAAGCACCAATGTTTGCATACCCACCGACATGTTCTTTCATCATATGAAAAGACAAACTTGCTCCCTTGTTAAGCTTTGCATTGTCAAAAATAAATTTCTTATGAACCACAGTCATATTACGGTTTTGCTTTTGAAACATTTGACTTTTCGGAGTAGTAAACTCATGTGTATGTGGCTCATGAAACCGGTATACTATATATGAACCAAAAGAAGAAAAACGGGCTTTCATACAAGCACGACAGCCCGTTCTCTTTAGGGCAGTTCGGCGAGGTGCACTTTTACCAGATTTCTGTTTTTCAGATTTAAGCACACGCTTTTGGTTATTGTCACCATCCTCTTTAAAACCTTGTTTGTTGCATAGAAAATATTTCCTTAAAACAGTACCATCTCGGTGTTTATTATCACTTCCTAACCGCACTTCAAATCCACACATCGAAGCATACTGATTGTAAAAGAGCTTAGCATCTCCTAAGGAAGAGAAAGTCATACCAACAGCAGGTTTACAATCAGGAGGGCAAGCTGGAATCCATTCTTTAGAAGAAAAGGAAGTGCTCAAGAATGGAGTTGAGATCATATTTGAGTTCACATCAACAACATCAACATCATCAACTTGATCCATTATACTAAAAAGCAATAAACATTAAGACAAAGAAAAGTCACTCAAAAAAATGATTTATACATAATTACAACTTCAGCAATATCATGCAATAATCAATTAAAAAACAATCTCCAAAACTGCTGCAAATAAAAAAACCAAAACAACTAATGAACCCCTAGTACTATTCTATTTCAAGGCCCATGGTTTGAGTTCCCAAATCGTTTGGCTTTCTTACATCAATTCAAACTTTCAAAGTACTATACATAGTGATTGGAATTTGAGGTTCTCTGTCAACTAAAAAACTTTTAGTCAAATAACAATAACTATTTAATCAAAATATATAACTTTTATTGAAAACTCTGGTCTAAATGTTAGAAGGTTTAAATAGTAATAAAAATGTAAATTTAAGAGGACAAAACTATAACTATACAGAGAAAGGTTTAATAAAAAACCAGTCAATGAGTTTCATACGTTATTCATAAAATTACACTCTAGGCTCAAACGAATTCTTTTACCGTTGAAACATTCTAACAAACACATGATGGGCATAATATATAGTTTCAATTGATTTATGAAAAAAAATAAGGCAAAAAAGTAATGAGCAAAACTGTTTGTTGAAAGATAATTCAATCGGAATATATTAAATCATAATTTAGAATTCACAAAATCAAAACCAAATCCAAGGTTAAAGTAAATGGCAGCGCATAAATTGGAGCAGATTGAGGGGAAGAGTTTAGTAGTTCAGATTAGGAAAAAAGAAGATGATTCGGACCTTCGATATGTCTTCGATGGGCAGTCGTCGTGATCAAAACTTGTTCTATCCTCTTCTACGGCGCTGGAACAAGTACAGGTTGTAGATGATAAACTTCATCGATGAATTGCAGTTCGACGTTGTTTAAGGGAGAGGCGGATACAGAGCCAAACATGTTGTTTAACAAAAGGATTTATAGTTTACGAAAATTTCAAATCTGCCATTAATGAAACGAGGTAATGCCATCAATCGGACAGCTGAGAAGAGGTAATCAGACGGCTACAATGAGTTCTCACTTTTCAGCTTAATTAGGACTTCTCATGGGATCTTTTCTATATATATATATATATATATATATATATATATATATATATATATATATATATATATATATATATATATATATATATATATATATAGAGAGAGAGAGAGAGAGAGAGAGAGAGAGAGAGCGAGAGAGGGAGGTTCAAATACAAAGTACTACTTATATGAAAAATGAGAAGTAATCTTAGCCGTTAAAATGAGAAAATGAATGAATCAGATCAATTTTAAAGTGGAAAATTCGGTGCCAATAGTGTAATATTAAAAAATTCGGTTCCAATAGTGTAAATGATAAATGTGCATGACTATGGAGAAAAAGTGCATTGGAGTAACACAAAAGTGCATCACTTTTCAGGGTGGAAAGCAACAAGTATAGAAATCGTTCGTGTTATTTTTTTAGGAGGTGAATATGCACTCTTAGATATGGCATATGCACTTTTACTATTATGTATTACACATTTTGGTTTACCGTGAGTTTTGATCCACTCCATTCATTTTGAAGTGATCAAGGGCTTAGATCACTTCTCACTTTTCACGGGAAGACCCCTTTGTATTAGAATTCACCCATATATATATATATATATATATAGGTTAAAGTTCAAATAAAAAGACATCTTCCCGTGCAAAGTGCGAAGACATGCACTTTTGCATGTTTCGCTTGCACTTTTGTGTGTTTTTGTCGCACTTTTTCGCGGGTAACGAAAAAGTGCAACATATTTACGAAATTGTCACCGTGATTTTGGTCGAATTTTGTGCATTTTTGGCTCATTTTGAGCCATTAGATGTGGAAATGAAGGCACAAGATTCATTTTCACTTTGCATGGGAAGAGGTCTTTGTATTTGAACCATCCCCTATATATATATATATATATATATATATATATATATATATATATATATATATATATATATATATATATATATATATATAGAGAGAGAGAGAGAGAGAGAGAGAGATAAGAGATAAGAGATCAAATACAAATCATGCTTAAAATACTAACCTACAAACTCAATAATATGCATCACTTTAAACTTCAATATGCAGTAAAAATAATCTAAAGATGCAGGGGTGGCATCACATACAAACTAGTCCTCTCATTCAAATCATCTTTACATTATTTGTATTGCACATTGAAGTTCAAAGTGTTTCATATTATTCAAGTCATAAAATAGCAGTTTCATATTTACATTATTTGTATTGCATATTGAAATTCAAAGAATGCATCTTTACATTATTTGTACTGCATATTGAAGTTCAAAGTGTTGCATATCATTGAGTTTGTAAGTTAGTAAGTTAAGCATGATTTATATAGAATTAATTCCACTTTAGATCCTCCGAGTTTTGTGTCATTTCCATATTTAGTCCTCATCTTTCACTTTATTCATTTTTGGTACCTGACTATTGTTTTCTTGACCATTTATGATCCATTTCTGAGCATTTTTACTATCGGAAAAGGACTATAAATGGTTAAGAAAACAATAGTCAGATACCGAAAATGGATAAAATGAAAGACGAGGACTAATTGTGGAATTGGTGCAAAACTCGTAGGACCATAAGTGGAATTTCTTCGCATGATTTGTATTTGATCTCTTATCTATCTATATATAGATAGATATACATAATATATAAATATATATTATGTAACTTTATTCGCATTCTTAACTTTCATTGTAATATAAATAATGTTACCCCCAATATATATATACATATATGTATATGTGTGTATATATATATATATATATGTGTGTGTGTGTGTGGGTGTGTGTGTGTGTGTGTGTGTGTGTGTGTGTCTTCATGAATATTAAAGTATTTTAAACTATGCAATTAATATCATAAATTTACATTCTTGAAAGAAATAATACTTGACTATGATGCTAAAATAATTTTTAAATAAAATTTGGGGTATTTAAATTACATATGAAGATTTGGGGTGCTTACCTCAAACTCATTCAAACTTCAAAGTTTGGGGTATTTTAATTGTTTTTCCCAAAGAATTATTCTTTTAGATGTTTTGATATCAAAACTTGGGACTACAGCTCTACAAGGAGGTGGAATCAATCTGATTCTGATTCCTAAGTCCTAACTAGGGATGGATTCGGTTCGGGCCACGCGGCCCGTGACCCGGCCCGGTACTGTGCGGGCCCGGGACCGGCCTGGTCGGGCGGTCCGGGACCGGGTATGGACCCGAACCGATGGGAAGGGGCGGGGCGGGCTCGGTTCTGGATTATTGTGACCCGGCCCGGCCGGGTCGAGCTCGGGCCCGAGTCCGGGTCTATTTAAAAAAAAAATGGTTTGGGCTACTACTCCTAGTCTCCTACTAGCCGTTGGGGGTGGGGCTGGGGACAACCCAAACGGCTATATAGCCGTTGGGTGGGGTAAAGGGGGGGTCCGGGGGGGTTGGCTGGTGGGGGGGTGGGGGTGGGGGGTAAAAAAACCTATAAATACTCCTAATCTTAAACATTTTTTCATATCTCTTCTCCAATTCTTCCTAAATCCTATTCTTAACTCTCTACTCTCTAATTCTCTTATTCTCCATTCTCCAATATATTATATTTATTATTTATAGTTTATATTAATTATCTACTTATATAAACTATAAATAGATATAAATAGTATTATATTACTTATATTTGTTATCTAATTATATATTACTTATATATTTATTATATCTATTAATATAGTTGGAATTATATCTAATTAATTTGAAGTCATTCTATTACTCCCATCCGAAAGACCGAAAGTCCGAAAGAGGTACGAAATTATTCTATTATTTACACTTGTTTAATTACTAGTTAATTTGCTACATTTGACTCTTGTTTAATAGTTAGATAAATAGTTAATTAGTTTTTTACAATTTTTTATTAATTGCTACATTTGACTCTAGTTTAAAAAATATGTTGTACACAAAACTAGTTAATTCACTACTTAATTTGCTATAACTCGAATTAATAGTTAGATAAATAGTTAATTAGTTTTTTACAATTTTTTATTAATTGCTACATTTGACTCTAGTTTAAAAAATATGTTGTACACAAAACTAGTTAATTCACTACTTAATTTGCTATAACTCGAATTAATAGTTAGATAAATAGTTAATTAGTTTTTTACAATTTTTTATTAATGGCTACATTTGACTCTAGTTTAAAAAATATGTTGTACACAAAACTAGTTAATTCACTACTTAATTTGCTATAACTCGAATTGATAGTTAGATAAATAGTTAATTAGTTTTTTACAATTTTTTATTAATTGCTACATTTGACTCTAGTTTAAAAAATATGTTTTACACAAAACTAGTTAATTCACTACTTAATTTGCTATAACTCGAATTAATAGGTTAGATAAATAGTTAATTAGTTTTGACATCACTCCATCCCAACACTTTATGGATGAATCTACAACAGAGGGTGGTTCTACCTATGCCGGAGATTCCGATTAAAAACAATTATAGTTCCTATTTAATTTTCAAATGTAGTTCCTATTTCATTTGAAATAAATGCACTTGAAGTTTGTTTTTTAATACTTGTATAAAACTATAAAGTATAAAATATAAATTAAAAAAAAAATATGTAACCGACCCGGCCCGGCCCGGCCCGGCGGGTGGCCCGACCCGTGACCCGGGCGGGTGGCCCGGCCAGAACCAGACCCGTCCAACCCTCGGGCCAGTCCCGGGCCCACTATTCTTGAACCGGTGGCCCGACCGGGCCTAGGCCCAGCCCGGGCCCGACCCGGCCCGAATCCATCCCTAGACTCCTAACAGGCCAATTCGATATGGGTCAGTTGCTGCCTAAAATTTGAGGAAACTTGACTGATGCTGCCTTAACGGCAGCCTGGTTAAACCAATCCTTTTCAAAACAGGAAAATTGCAGGTTGTTTAAAACAATATTATAATAAGAGTTACTGGTTCAAAATTTCAAATAATACAGGACTTATAAATGATTGTGTTTACAACATTTGATTTTATAAGATGTTTTATATTGGATCGAAACTTTCTAATATAGTCTATTTTATAAGTATTTACAATGTCGAACTTTAGTGCAATCGAAAACATCTCAAGTAATTAACATGTTAGTACTTCTAGAAAAAACATTAAAGTACTTTAAACGTGCATAAATATAATTACAGTAAGTGAACTTTATGACAAAATAACGATAATTAAGACATAAGTACATTTGTTTTGTTGAGGGATTTTCGTTTTAAAAGTTCACGCATTCAAGCATCAACTTAAGTTTGAAACTTCCGTAATTTTTTGCACCTTCTTCGAAACGTCTTTCAACGCTCCAGAAACTCAAGTATCTCATTTTGCAGATACATACTTTGCACATGCAATGGAATGAATAGATACAAGTTGAAACATTCTCTCTAAAAGTGAAGGAATGTAAGGTGTAAAAAGTATGAATATAAGAATAGTACGTAGGGACATTACGTATACGATAAGGAATTTATACGAAAGCGTTGCAAGAGCCCCCCGTCCCCATGGCGATATATCTGTTGAGCTGCAATGCAGTGCGTGAAGCAAGCGAAAATAAAGCGGATAAAAACTCCAGACCCAAAATAGAATCAGTCAATTAAGTACATATTCAGTGGCACCATATATAGGTTGAAAATGGCCTGAACAGATCCCAATAGCATTTATAAACCTGTTCAGTGGTGACGACGTGACGTGGTGTAGTTTCCAGTTATAAAACTGACTGGTCCCGATCTGAGTCAGGTACGAAATTGGGACCATGCCCATCCTTACCAAAAAGCAATGCCACCATAGGTCGAGGGACCAAGAGTGGAATCAACTATTTGAAGGCATACAGATGATTAATTTTCAGCAATGACTCACCTTCTCATTCTGTACTTAACCAACACATCAGAATAAAAATATCATAGACAACAGTACAACATTAACAAATACTAGCAATTAAAAGAACAAGTCTAGAAACGTGTTATATGTACACTCCTAAACTCTTCTTTCTATACAGAAAGTGTGAACTATATTATCTCCCCTCTGACTCCACCTACCCACCACCACCACTAAACGCACACGCACAATGAACATCTCACGAAAGAAAGCTACATTGCCTAAGCATTATCAATCATGTAAGAAGATCCCATCTCCCACTATATGGCAATTGGTTGTGGAGCTTTGATGTATACACAAATATGAAGAAAGTATTCGGGGTTTACCAAGTTTTTCACTACCCAAGCAAAAGGGATCTCCAGTTTTGGCTCTATTCCTTGGATCCTAACAAGTTTGATTTCTCGATTATTTGATGCTTCTCCACCAGATTCCTTAGCACTGGTAAAGTTTGTCTCTTCTGAAGCTGATCTTTCCCCCTCGCCTTCTTCCTCCTCTCTGCAGGTGATGTCTTCCATAAAAACCTCAGGAAGAAGCGCTTTTACTGCATCGCCCAATGTGAAGAACTTGTCTGCAGGTACAAAATTAGATTCCTTAAACATTGTGCAATTTTACCCATGAAAGAACGGCTCTCCCACACACAAGGGCCACAACCCAAATTTAAAATACATCGTTGTTGGTAGGGCTGAAATCTTCTAGCCTATTTTTTCCATGGCATTGGCGTACCACTCAGAATGAGTAGTACATAATATATACAAGAGACGTGGGACATGATATTTGAATTCCGAAAAGTGGGATGTAAGATGGCGCAGTGTAGGATGTTCTTTCTTTACGGTATGTTTGGGTGAAGGTTTTTAGAGGGGTCAGGAGGGGAAGACTTTAAGGGACCTGGTCTATATCTTGATAAATACTCCGTAACATGTTTCTAGAAATAAGTAAAAGGTAATTGATTTTTGGGAAAATGGAGACTAATAATCCAACCTTTTAGCGGTCTTCTTATAATAGTCCCACCTTTTGATTATTCAGGAATAATCCAACCTTTGCACCCCATCTTCATTCAATGGTCCCTGACCGGTTGATGACCCGCTATTCCAAGTTATTTTCTTATCTTTGCAAAACATTATGTGACCGTAAGGTGAGATTTATGGTATAATATATTGCAAAGATAAGAAAATAACTTGAGATAACGGGTCATCAACCAGTCAGAGACCACTGAATGAAGATGAGGTGCAAAGGTTGGATTATTCTTGAATAATCAAAAGGTGGGACTATTATAATAAGACCGCTAAAAGGTTGGATTATTAGTTTCCATTTTCCCTTGATTTTTTTATGATTGCACATCATGTTAATTTTTAAAACTTTATAAAATCTCAAATACATATATCAAGATATAAATTAAGTCCACCATAATTTGACATCCAATTCCCAAACAAAACTTTTCAAGAAACTGTCCATGTGAAAAGTTTGCAAAGAAAGAAAGAATATTCCACAAATGGTGGGTATGTGAGAAGCCATCATTTCCTTAGAAAAACTGACACTTTGTGCAACTGCTCATTAACACATCAACCTTTAATAATCATTTCTCCAGCCAGACTATTGAGGTTGACCAGTTAAAACCAAAGGAGTGATATAGGACATAGTCAGCAAATGCAATTACAGAATTTAATTTGTTCTACCAACCATCTTCACAAATCTCAACTGGTCGATTGATGTAAGAGATCTTGTCCCAACACTCAACCACAGGTGCATCATCTACACAATCAAAATCTTCACTAGAGCTCCGGACATACAAACGAACTGGAACTCTACCTAACATGCACAGATAACAATAAACAGATAACAAAACATTAAAAACACCACTTCAATGCCATTCAAGATTAAATACAACTGCATTCAAAATATTTGGACAAACAATTCAAGACAGTCCCAGCAAAGCAGAACTTATCTTTCTTTTGTTAAGTTAATGATAAATGCAAGTAGGTAAAGGTAGCCAGAGGAGTGCGAAAGAGAAAGTTCCATGTACCAAATCATGCTTATCAATGTTTTACAATCTTTTCTACCCTTCTTAGTTATTAAAAATATCATTATGTATTCAACCGCCACTATCCAGTCCTAGATAAATACACTCCTCATTGGATAACGGGAAAGCATACAACTGTTAATTTAAAGGGTAATAACTAACAAATGAAGGATGTTAGAATTCATATCATTCGAACAAATTACCTTGTGAGTTTGTCCCACCTTTATTTACTACTACAGGGGCATCTTCATCACTTTTAGTACTTTGCTGACACTTGTAAGAATCCAGCTTTACTGCAAAATCACCTCCATATACACTCAGCTTAAGCTTAGAAGAAACGCGGAGATAAGCTTCCAAATTACCTAGAGCAGAAGTATGTAGCAGTTAAATACTAGATTACTGGCATAGAGCACCAAGCTTCTACATACCCTAGCACTAGACTCGTTTAACAATCAATTTAATAACTACATAATAAAGATCATAAAAATATAGGAATTTTGATATAGAGGGTTTTTAGGCAGGGATGACGTCAGCATGACATCACCGCATAACAGCAGCCCTGTGTACCTCTTTTTCTTCCCCTTTTTCCTTTTCTCCTTTTCTTTTGGGCTGTCAACCCACCCTCTATTTTTAAACCCTCCCACTCCCTTTTCCTCTATGAAACCCCTTTTTTTCCCGCCATGTAAGCAACTAAGAGTCAAAAAGCTCCACATTTAGCTTCCCACACCCTTTTCCCCTATGAAACCCCTTTTTTCTCCCCCCATGTAAGCAACTAAGAGTCAAAAAGCTCCACATATAGCCTTTTGGACTCCTACTCCCCTTGCACTACAAATGGTCTAGGACTGGACTTCAAAAGTACACCAAAAGAAACCACTTTTGAAAACAAACACACCAAGAGAAACACACTAATTGAAAACACTTTTTTAAAGCATATTATCGAAATTGCATGTTATCACAAAGAAAACTAAGTAAAAATGTGGAAAAGTTAAAGGATAAAAGTAATAAGCATTCTTTGGATCTAACGTCACATACAGTTCAAAACAGAGCGCCATAGTTCTGATTGATCAATTTGAGACATATTCATGATGTTTTTGCAGTTCCCATTGATGATGTATGCTGCCTGCATAGTGAAACTAAGATAAAGGACGAACAAAAATAACCCAAATCTTTGAAACCAACAACAATCAGCAATTAATAACAAGTAAACAATATACAACAAGAAGCGTATCAAGTCCATATGGAGACCAATACTGCAATGACTTTCACAAGTCACGATATGTAACATTCTAGGGTACAAACTTAATGGTACAGCCTTTTTTAGATAATTTTGCCAGCTCACATTAACCAAGGATTCCCTTGTCCAGACTTCTCTTACCTTTCAGAAAGAACCAACCACTAAAGTCCCGGTTAGGACTTCGGATATTGATTATCATAGTACACTTATGAATAATAGATTCATATTATAGATTTCACTCTTTAAGTTTATTTCTACAGAACTTCATGTCCGGTACATGACTCCGTGTCTCCATGGGTATCAAATTGCTCTAATAAAGAACACTGTGAAGCACATAGTAAAAGAGTTTTCTTAAGAGATTAACCACCAAAAGGAAAGTAACAGCTCGCATTTTAGTAAACTGTCCATGAAATAAAGATTTGCATTTTCAAAAAAAAATCTTGGGCGGATTATGATACAGGCAATCAGGCATATGATCTTCATAGATACTTTATTGACAGAAGATTACAAGCCAAATCCACACAAGTTAGCAAAAAGAAGTGAATGAGGCCACACATATACCCAAACACATTTTATTAACTTGCTACTACAGTGTTGAAAATTTGAGACTGTCAAACTTCTATTCACTGCAATCACCTTTAGTTCAAAAAAAGACTCAGAAATGTCAGACCATAAGAGAGTTAATGTACAAAAGAGACATATACCCGACCTCCTTTAATGAATTAATAAAACTCCATTTCACGGTGTCTTCAGCTTCACATGGGGTTAAAATGCTTCCAGGGTATCCTCTAAAATGTACCTATATGATGTTTTGAAAGATTATCTTTGACAATTTCGAAGAACTATATATGTGGAGAAAAAATAGAAACAAATTCAAATAAGCCAAAAATAAAAAAGAATAAAAAATTCAACATAACAAATTACCATTATGTTTAAAGCATACCACATAAAAACAAATACACCAAACACAATGAGTTAGTTAAACTACTCGCGAGCAACTTATAGTAACCAATCAAGCTAAATTCAAGCACTAAATGCAGAACACCATAAAGCTGTCATTAATGATTTCCTTGAACCTTCAGCAAAGTATCTTGTCCAAGCTACACATCATTGGTTGTTCCAAAAGATTATGATTGGGGTCTTGGGGATGGGGGAGTCAGCCGGAGCATTGAGTACGAGGCATTAAAAGACAAATTAACACATGATTAATTGTGAAAAGCTCCTCAGATCTACATATTTGGAGGGGCCCGTAGGCCCTACTATGTTTGCTAACAACACTTTTGTATAAAAGAAATGCTACATTTGTCCAGGTCGTCCAATGCAGCCACCATCATCAAGCATTGATTAGTTTTTCTAAAAGATATTCATCGTATCCATCCAACTGAAACTTGCAAGCTTAATTCCATATATTCAGAAGATTTACCCCTGGAGAGATAACTACTGATCCTGGAAACCTTCATACAAACATTAACAGCAAATTTACCAGTTCCGCTTAGACTTTTCAACATTCAATGATAATCGTACACATAAACCTCCCCTGTTTTACATTCAATATCCTTCTTTAGTTTTCACAAATTACAATTATTCTGCAAATACTGTTGTTGGTTTTGTTGAGCCATAATCCATTAACACAAATCAATGATTTTCTATGTACACTTTGAACAGCATGTATCCATTATAGTTATTGAAATGTAGACTAGATAATAATAGTATCTATTCACGAAGTATAGTGATCTTTCATACGTATATGATGTACTGTGTGTGTTGACTGTTGAGGGTATACCGTTAGATTCCATGGTCTTTCTGGTTCTGCACAGAGAAGGTCAAAGAGTACCCCAATAGGTATATACCTGCACGCATAGCACAAATACCAATTACAAGAACCCAGCATATATCTAACAGTTCTAACCTAACAAAATTAGTTTTGGGAGGTGACAATTTAGGCCATGGTGAAGAACAGCACCGTCAAATTAAACCAGCAACTTATGCATTGTAGATAAGGTGATCTGAACATGGATATGTTGCAGTTTTAATCAAAAGTCACTTCTAAAGGTTTACAGAAGTGAACCCTAACAAAATGTTAAAAGACTTTTCATCACACGCATTTGATAATATTGAAGTTATCATGTCACTAGCAAAATCCAGATATCCATGAAGCAAATTGTTTTTTTATTCTGCAAGTTATCATAGATGTTCATTTGAATAAATGTTTGTCACCAACAACGTCAATTTTTATTTTGGAAAATTTGATAACACACACACAGACATACACACAAACACATGTGTGTATATAGAGCTTCATGTAAAGGCACAATACCATTTCAGAGGAAGTCCTTTGTAGTCAAACCAAATAGTGTCCACACCTGGTGGTAGCGCACTGCTGAAGAAAGGTTTAACTTGTGGTGCTAATAGGGGCAGGTACCCTATCCGAGGAGCTAAAATCTGGAGCAGGAAAAACATGGGACAAGGGAGCTATATAAGCAAAACTAAACCAAAATTGTAAGCCTAATCAAGAAGTGTGCAATGTGGGTCATGCTTTAAATCTTTGTTGAAGGTGTGGTAGCTTTAAGGTGGTCAAATGATTAATTACAGTTGAAATTCATCATCCATGTAGCCATGTACAATACAAAAGTCGGGAAGAGGAAACTTGGCGGTATTGAATAGCTTTATGGTTACGTTTGAAAGTAAAGTAACAACATCAACAAAATGCAAACTATGGATTAGTTAGGTTAGGGAAGGAAACTCTTATTCAAAGGGACATTTATAGCTCACTTCCACATTGAAGCTACTGCTTGAACTGGAACGCCAAAATCACTTAAACCCTTGACAATCTTTTTAATGGCCATAAAACTCCACAAGTGAAACCTAGAGCACTCATGTCAATATGAATGAATACACACGCGCATACTCTAAACAGCAATTAAGCAATGTGCATAACCATGATGATCAATGAGCTGCGAATAGAGTGGGTGGGAGAGGGAAGAAAGGTGGATCTCACAAGAGCAGTGGGAGGAAGAGGAAGAGTAGTGACTTCGGACTCGTGAAGATGAATCTGCAGTGGAATCGCTCCTTCCCAAACATACTTACATGCTTCTGTGCCTATGCTGATTTCCATCGCTCAAGCTACACTGAGCCACAATTTGCGGCCAGAGAGAGTAAAAGACCAGAAAAATTCCGATACTCCCTTCTCTCAGAATTTCGTAAAAAAAAGCCCGTCATTGAAGTTTATCGAACCGTTTTAATATTTTTTTAATAGAAGTCTTTCATACGTAGTATTTTTTAAATGCTCCTATATTTTTTAGTAGACAACTTTTACATTTTCCAAAAAATTACTCTCTCCAATCCGGTAGGAGTTTTCATTTAGGGGTTTTGACATTAATATTACTAAAAAATAGCTAATGGACAATAAATGTGACTAATAAATACTCACTTCTCCAAATTACCCTTGCTGCATCCGGATAACTTCAAAGCTGCATCTGGCCGGATCACTTCACTGCATTAGAATGCACTGCGTGCGAATGCATTCTCTAACCATTAGTGCTTCTTTCTATTTTAATATTGTTTCTCAAGTTAGATACTACGTATTAAGATATGGGGTTATTCCTCCAATATTACTAAATTAAGTGTGATTTCCTAAAATGTGACCATTTTTTGATTTGGACAAAAATGTGTCTAAAGTAGTCATATTAATGTCATTACCACATTTTAATGTCACTGATCAAATTTAATGTCACTATCGAATATCACTTTCACCACCACTAGTGTCATTGTAGCCACCGGTCGTGTCACTGTGGCCACCGCCCGTGTCACTGTGGCCACCGCCCGTGTCACTGTTGCCACCGCCCGTGTCACTGTTGCCACCGCCCGTGTCACTGTGGCCACCGCCCGTGTCACTGTGGCCACCGCCCCGTCCACAATGACGTCGTCATGGTGACACCGCCCCAAGCCACAATGACACTGCCGGCGTAACCGCCAAATTATTGCCGCTACACCGCCCAATTCCCTCCATCGGCCACTGCATCCGGCGACCACCACCTCCAGCCAACGACTGCAACCACCGTTGGCAACCACCACAGTCTACACCCAAGCCCCTGCCTCACCCAGCCCCCTCCCCTGCGTCACCCCAGCCCCTCTGCCTCACCCAGCCTCCACCGTCCCTACCCGTCCACCGTCCTTGCCCGTCCACCGTTGTTGTCACCCCTACCCTGGATGTCGCCGCCCCCCTTGCCCCATCATAGCCCATGAGACTCGCCACTACCCACCAGCCCCACTGGACTTTCACTACCCACCAGTCCACCCGCCCCTGCACCCCCCACCCACCCACACGCAGCAGCCCTCTGTAACACTAATTGTTGCCGAAGTATTGGAGTCGCCGCCGCCAAATCGCCTAGCTCTCAAAGTCGTTGCTGCCACCGGATCTGCAAAGCCCTTACTGTCCAATGCATCTTGCTTCGCCGTCGACTCCCACTGTCGCGTCAGATGTACACATCAACCGAGATCTCACCGTAGATGCAGAAATTGGGAGAAGGAGAAGAAATTTCAGTTCCTATTTGCAATTCAAAACCCTAGCATCATTTATCAACCCTGTCGTTGTTGATGCCATCGAGTATAGGTGAAAAGGAGGAGGAGAACGATGAAGGAAGCCAACAATGAGGGCAGAGATCAGCTATGAAGAACAAAGGACGCAGGCGGTGAACTTGGGTGTTGGTGCTTTAGCGACGAAGCCGACGAGGACGGAGGAGAGAGGGCTAGCCAAAAGGATACGCTGGCTAAGCTTCGGCGGTGGTGGTTTCATGAGGACGGAAGTCAGAAGAGAGAAGGCAATGGGTACCTTTAGTACGGAAGTCTGAAGTCGAAAAATTGAAAGCACGAGAAGAGTCTGGTCACTTTTGTGTCTATCTCTAAAGAGGTCATATTTTTGTCCAAACAAAGTTATGGAGTAATATTCATGCCATTATTTCTTAAGATATTGAAATATATGAGTTGTAAAATATTTAATTTTTTTGGACAATTGTAAATATTTAATTTATTACACTAAAATTTGTGTAAAAATGATCCCAGTGACTACCGCTCTCCAATGACCATCGTCCCAGTTACCACCGCTCTAGTACAGTGACTATCGTCTCACTTACTAACGCTCCCATGGTCATCGTTCCAGTTAGTACCGCTCAAGTGACCACTATCATAGTTACTACCGCCCCAGTTACTACCGCTCCAGTGACACCTCGTTGCAGTTATTACCGCTCCAGTGACACCTCGTTGTAGTTATTACTGCTCCAGTGACCACCCCATTCTATTTACTACCACTTAGTGATCATCCTTTCTAGTTACTACCAACAATCATTCCAGTTACTACTGCTCAATTGACCACCAAGTTACTACTGCTCCATTGACCTCCACTACAATGACCCGACCCGACATAGTGACCACTACCACAGTGACCACCGCAACAGTGACCACCGTTGGCGATGAGTGACCGCCCCGCTTACCGTTACCATTACGAGTAGATAATTTTACAACAACCCACTCATAGTGACCTTATTTGCGACCTTGTCCGTCCAGTGACATTGCTTCCCCACCACCGCAGACACCATGACCACCGCCTCCCCACCCTGCATGTATCCCCTTCACTCACCCTCCACTATCCCATCTCCTGCCACCACTCAATTAAGGCCCAGCCAGCCTAATAGCTCCCACAAATCCCAACAATTTTCCCCACCAACAACACGGAAGATGCCATTTCCTCGCTAGTCGCTCCTTTTCTAGGTCTTCTTACATTGACATCAATCTCCGTCCCTAACCTTTCGTGCACTGCATGCAATTCAACCTCTTAATTCCAATTTTCAGTTTTAAGTATAACCTAATTTCTAAGAAACTGATTCCAGAAATCAATCGAAAGAAGGAGAAGTGCAATTCCAAGCGACTGGAGCGGCGGAATTGAAGGGACGAGTGGATTGTCTGAGCCCTTCTTCTTTGGTTCGCCATCGCTAAAGCAGTGGTTCTACAGGGCTTTCATGGAATTCATTCTAAGCTGAAGAAGAGAGCCGGGTGGAGGAAGAGACCTGCAGACCGGACGACTGCAAGGCGGCGGCGAGGTTGGTTCGCGACAGTAGGATGGCGACAAAGGCTCCTGTGTTGTCCGTCGAGGCAACGGGTTGAAGACTACGCTGCTATAAGTTAAAAGCTTGGATTATATTAGGGTATTCAGTCCATTCCTAATTAAATGATCACATTTTTGTCCAATTTTAAATATGGTCTTATATCTGTCTAATGATTACTCATAGGTAATATTATTGTCATTATTTCTTTCAATTACGGTATACGATACTTGACTGATAATAAAGCAAATTAATCTCTACTCACACTCTGATTATTTTTAGTAAATAAAATTTACATATTTAAAAACTACATTAAAACCGCTACAAAGCCTCATCAAAAATGTAAATTTGATTAAAATTTGATATATAAAGCAAAAGATTAAGAATGATTTAAGTTGACCATGTGAATAGTGGACGAGCACCTTTGAATGGGACGGAGGGAGTAACTCATTTAAAACATACTGGTAGCAAATAGCTCTAAAATTGCCGTTGTCCCCATCTCCCCCCGGTGAACGTCGTCTCCATCTGCACTCCCAACGAAGCATCCATCGAACATCTCTTAGTTCCATCCGAACTCAAAACTCCACATCATCTCCATTGCATGTCCCTGCATCGATTCTTTGTCCATCGCCTGTCCCAGCATTACCACCGACTATGAATCGCATCACTGTATCATCTTTGACACCTTCCAATCACATCACCATTACCGCACCCGGCTCTAAATCACCATTACGAATCGCATCACCATTACTACATCCGGCTCTAAATCACCATTACGAATCGCATCACCATCGAAAACTACGTCCCTTCACCGCTGGATCGAAGTTCTAGTTCCTCTCTTCTTAATTTCTTCTTACGTCGGGTTAGGGTTACAATGGTGGGCTGGGGGTAGCGGGGTTACAAGTTTGCGCTGAGGGCTGGGCAACGCTGCGGCGTGGTAAGCCGTGGCGGTGGGATGTGGTTGGGGAACTGTGGATGGGAGTAAGGAAGGGGTTGCGACATGGGATCTGGGATGGGGTTGGGGTGCAGGGGAGAGGACTACGACTGAGGAGCTGGAACGGAGGCTGGGGTAGGGAGCCGTAGGCGATCAGGGGGCAGGGGATGTGGTGTTGGCGGAGGTTGGGCCATTCTCATGGTGTCCTCGGCTGGGAAGGTTGGGGGACTAAAACGTGGGTGCATGATGATGACTCGGTGGTGAGGGGAAATGGTGGGATGGTGGTGACCGGCGGTGGCGTGTCACTGTGGTTGGACGGCGGCAATCTCATCGTCGCAGTTAGCATGTCACTAGGGTTGTGTCACCGGAAGTGGTGTCACTTATGTCACTGCAGTGTATAATCGTGAAGTTGGTCACATTTTTTGAAATCTAAAAAAGATGTCACTTTTGTCTTTTGTCCTCATTTTTTAATATTCATGTCAAAAGACCCATATTTAATGTTGGGAATAATATACTAACTTCTAAATTTGAAATAAGAAATTATATTTTTTAAATTCTTCATAATATTCATGAATATATTAAAAAGAGTTTCAAAATTCATATAAACTTCTAAAATATTATTATTCCCATTTTTTTCAAATGCATCAAATTTTCTTTATTTTTATTTTTGTAAACAAAGACTCTTGCTCAATAAATTGTGACATGTACATTTACTTATCTTAATTTTACTTACATTTTAAGATTTATGAAGATTTACATTGTTTTCTTAAACATATATGTAGAGTGACTACTTTAGTTTCTTATGACTTTGTGGTGCTATATTTTAGTTATGATGTCTAATTTTCTCTATTTCAAAGTTTGGTATTATTGAATTTGTTTGTTTTTGTGCTATTTAATCTATAGATTTGTGGTTAGATATTTTGTTAACTAATTCAAAACTTTGTTATATATTTTCATTTTAAAAATTTTTACTATATTAAGGTGACATTGATACTTAATTTGTTTGAAATTTTTATGATCTACTAGATTTTTTGTTAGCGTGGTTTTACAAAGAATAAGAACCGAAAATCCGGACTGAACCGGCCCATTTCAATCAGGGCAGGGTAAGGTCTGATTCATATTCCAAGACTTGACATATCTGGACAAAACCTACCCGTTAAATGAAACCAGTGATTTCTGAAAAATTTATCAATTACCTGGACTGATTCGGACCGTGACAACC